CAGTGTGGTTTATAGTACGTTAGTATCAGTGTGGTTTATAGTACGTGAATATCAGTGTGGTTTATGGTACGTGAGTATAAATGTGGTTTATGGTACGTGAGTATCAGTGTGGTTTATAGTACGTGAGTATCAGTGTGGTTTATAGTACGTTAGTATCAGTGTGGTTTATAGTACGTTAGTATCAGTGTGGTTTATAGTACGTGAATATCAGTGTGGTTTATGGTACGTGAGTATAAGTGTGGTTTATGGTACGTGAGTATCAGTGTGGTTTATAGTACGTGAGTATCAGTGTGGTTTATAGTACGTTAGTATCAGTGTGGTTTATAGTACGTGAATATCAGTGTGGTTTATGGTACATGAGTATCAGTGTGGTTTATGGTACGTGAGTATCAGTGTGCTTTATGGTACGTGAGTATCAGTGTGGTTTATGGTACGTGAGTATCAGTGTGGTTTATAGTACGTGAGTATCAGTGTGGTTTATGGTACGTGGGTATTAGTGTGGTTTATAGTACGTGAGTATCAGTGTGGTTTATAGTACGTTAGTATCAGTGTGGTTTATGGTACGTGAGTATCAGTGTGGTTTATGGTACGTGAGTATCAGTGTGGTTTATGGTACGTGAGTATCAGTGTGGTTTATAGTACGTGAGTATCAGTGTGGTTTATGATACGTGAGTATCAGTGTGGTTTATGGTACGTGAGTATCAGTGTGGTTTATGGTACGTGGGTATTAGTGTGGTTTATAGTACGTGAGTATCAGTGTGGTTTATAGTACGTTAGTATCAGTGTGGTTTATGGTACGTGAGTATCAGTGTGGTTTATGGTACGTGAGTATCAGTGTGGTTTATGGTACGTGAGTATCAGTGTGGTTTATGGTACGTGAGTATCAGTGTGGTTTATGGTACGTGAGTATCAGTGTGGTTTATAGTACGTGAGTATCAGTGTGGTTTATGGTACGTGGGTATTAGTGTGGTTTATAGTACGTGAGTATCAGTGTGGTTTATAGTACGTTAGTATCAGTGTGGTTTATGGTACGTGAGTATCAGTGTGGTTTATGGTACGTGAGTATCAGTGTGGTTTATGGTACGTGAGTATCAGTGTTTTTTATAGTACGTGAGTATCAGTGTGGTTTATGATACGTGAGTATCAGTGTGGTTTATGGTACGTGAGTATCAGTGTGGTTTATGGTACGTGGGTATTAGTGTGGTTTATAGTACGTGAGTATCAGAGTGGTTTATAGTACGTTAGTATCAGTGTGGTTTATGGTACGTGAGTATCAGTGTGGTTTATGGTACGTGAGTATCAGTGTGGTTTATGGTACGTGAGTATCAGTGTGGTTTATGGTACGTGAGTATCAGTGTGGTTTATAGTACGTTAGTATCAGTGTGGTTTATGGTAGGTGAGCATCAGTGTGGTTTATGATACGTGAGTGTCAGTGTGGTTTATGGTACGTGAGTATCAGTGTGGTTTATGATACGTGAGTGTCAGTGTGGTTTATGGTACGTGAGTATCAGTGTGGTTTATGGTAAGTGGATATCAGTGTGGTTTATAGTACGTTAGTATCAGTGTGGTTTATGGTACGTGAGTATCAGTGTGGTTTATAGTACGTTAGTATCAGTGTGGTTTATGGTACGTGAATATCAGTGTGGTTTATGGTACGTGAGTGTCAGTGTGGTTTATGGTACGAGAGTAACAGTGTGGTTTATGGTACGTGGGTATCAGTGTGGTTTATAGTACGTTAGTATCAGTGTGGTTTATAGTACGTGAGTATCAGTGTGGTTTATAGTACGTTAGTATCAGTGTGGTTTATGGTACGTGAGTGTCAGTGTGGTTTATGGTACGTGGGTATCAGTGTGGTTTATGATACGTGAGTGTCAGTGTGGTTTATGATACGTGAGTGTCAGTGTGGTTTATGGTACGTGGGTATCAGTGTGGTTTATGATACGTGAGTGTCAGTGTGGTTTATGATACGTGTCAGTGTGGTTTATGATACGTGGGTATCAGTGTGGTTTATGGTACGTAGGTATCAGTGTGGTTTATGATACGTGAGTGTCAGTGTGGTTTATGGTACGTGGGTATCAGTGTGGTTTATGATACGTGAATATCAGTGTGGTTTATGGTACGTGAGTATCAGTGTGGTTTATGGTACGTGAGTGTCAGTGTGGTTTATGGAACGTGAGTGTCAGTGTGGTTTATGATACGTGAGTATCAGTGTGGTTTATGGTACGTGAGTATCAGTGTGGATTATGGTACGTGAGTATCAGTGTGGTTTATGATACGTGAGTATCAGTGTGGTTTATGGTGCGTGAGTATCAGTGTGGTTTATGGTACGTGAGTATCAGTGTGGTTTATGATACGTGAGTATCAGTGTGGTTTATGGTATGTGGGTATCAGTGTGGTTTATAGTACGTTAGTATCAGTGTGGTTTATGGTACGTGAGTATCAGTGTGGTTTATAGTACGTTAGTATCAGTGTGGTTTATGGTACGTGAGTATCAGTGTGGTTTATGATACGTGAGTATCAGTGTGGTTTATGGTACGTGAGTATCAGTGTGGTTTATGATACGTGAGTATCAGTGTGGTTTATGGTACGTGAGTATCAGTGTGGTTTATGGTACGTGAGTGTCAGTGTGGTTTATGGTACGTGAGTATCAGTGTGGTTTATGGTACGTGAGTATCAGTGTGATTTATGTTACGTGAGTATCGGTGTGGTTTATGGTACGTGAGTATCAGTGTGGTTTATGATACGTGAGTGTCAGTGTGGTTTATGGTACGTGGGTATCAGTGTGGTTTATGGTACGTGAGTATCATTGTGGTTTATGGTACGTGAGTATCAGTGTGGTTTATGGTACGTGAGTATCAGTGTGGTTTATAGTACGTGAGTGTCAGTGTGGTTTATGGTACGTGAGTATCAGTGTGGTTTATGGTACGTGGGTATCAGTGTGGTTTATAGTATGTTAGTATCAGTGTGGTTTATGGTACGTGAGTATCAGTGTGGTTTATAGTACGTTAGTATCAGTGTGGTTTATGGTACGTGAGTATCAGTGTGGTTTATGGTACGTGGGTATCAGTGTGGTTTATGATACGTGAGTGTCAGTGTGGTTTATGGTACGTGGGTATCAGTGTGGTTTATGATACGTGGGTATCAGTGTGGTTTATGGTACGTGGGTATCAGTGTGGTTTATGATACGTGGGTATCAGTGTGGTTTATGATACGTGAGTGTCAGTGTGGTTTATGGTACGTGAGTGTCAGTGTGGTTTATGGTACGTGAGTGTCAGTGTGGTTTATGGTACGTGAGTGTCAGTGTGGTTTATGGTACGTGAGTGTCAGTGTGGTTTATGGTACGTGGGTATCAGTGTGGTTTATGATACGTGGGTATCAGTGTGGTTTATGATACGTGAGTATCAGTGTGGTTTATGGTACGTGAGTATCAGTGTGGTTTATGGTACGTGAGTGTCAGTGTGGTTTATGGTACGTGAGTATCAGTGTGGTTTATGGTACGTGAGTGTCAGTGTGGTTTATGGTACGTGAGTATCAGTGTGGTTTATGGTACTTGAGTGTCAGTGTGGTTTATGGTACGTGAGTGTCAGTGTGGTTTATGGTACGTGAGTGTCAGTGTGGTTTATGGTACGTGAGTGTCATGTGGTTTATGGTACGTGAGTGTCAGTGTGGTTTATGGTACGTGAGTGTCAGTGAGGTTTATGGTACGTGAGTGTCAGTGTGGTTTATGGTACGTGGGTTTTAGACAATTCCAGTAATTGTACCATGTACTTGTAGAAGTAACAATTATTATTATTATTATTATATTATTATTATTATTATTATTATTATTATTATTATTATTATTATTATTATTATCATTATTATTATTGTTATTATTATTATTATTATCATCATTATTATTATTATTATTATTATTATTATTATTATTATGATTATTATTATTATTATTAAACATTTATTAAAACACTCGTATTGGCTTCTAGAAATCATTATAAGAATTTTTTCTGGTAGCAAAATAAGTCTTTAAATAGATTTGCTTTGGGAATGTTGCTATAAAGCTTGGATTATATACCACACTGACGACACTGGAGGACAGGAGGGTCAGGGGAGACATGATAACGACATATAATATACTGCGTGGAATAGACAAGGTGGACAAGGACAGGATGTTCCAGGGAGGGGACACAGAAACAAGAGGCCACAATTGGAAGTTGAAGACACAAATGAGTCAGAGAGATATTAGGAAGTATTTCTTCAGTCATAGAGTTGTAAGGCAGTGGAATAGCCTAGAAAATGACGTAGTGGAGGCAGGAACCATACACAGTTTTAAGACGAGGTTTGATAAAGCTCATGGAGCGGGGAGAGAGAGGGCCTAGTAGCAACCGGTGAAGAGGCGGGGCCAGGAGCTAGGACTCGACCCCTGCAACCACAAATAGGTGAGTACACAATAGTGGGGACCAGTGAAGAGGCGGAGCCAGGAGCTATGTCTCGACCCCTGCAACCACAAATAGTTGAGTACAAACAGGTGAGTCAGTACAAAGTTCTGGGAAAACAATGTTACAGATATTTTTACTTGTTGGTCATAACATGGACAGTTATAGTAATTATAACATCAAGGTACGGACAATTACCTTCTGTTTCCCATTGTTTTCGAGTTTGCTGGACGATTAAATATTGTTTAATTATCCGAGGAAGGTCTCAAAATATTATCAGTTTGGAGAAACGGAAAAGTCATCCTCGACATGACATCTATAATTGACCAGGAAGTAAAGTTTGTGTTAATGATTAATTATCAAAGTATTTTATGGAAAAAATATTGGTTATGGTTGTGCCAGTGGATTCCCCATAGCACTACCGTAGTTCTGTCTGTGAGAAAGGTTATTCAATACGGAGATAAATTTCTGTGATCATGGGGGGACTGAAATGAACGTAATTATTATTAAGATAATGAGAGATAAAGGAAAGATAAGAAGATAGGACAGCTTATGATAAACCTAAGAGTCAGTATTGGTGCGTGTATGTGGTGGAATGTGTGTATATCTCCCTGGCTCACTATTCTCTCTCTCTCGCTCACTCTTGCACACACAATTGCTGGGTTCTCATGCTGTGCTGGTTCTACAACCAGATTTGTAAGGTTTGGTGATTGTATCTGTTTTCAAGGTAGTTTGGAAGTGATTGTGGCGACAATGAAGACTCTGCTGTTGATGATTCTCGTCAGCCTGGCGGCTCTTCCTCCACCAGTGCAAGGTAACATATATATATAAACCCCCCAAAGAAAGTATATTTATTTAGCTGCTCGCGGCAATATTTTTATATTTCAATTTTTGGATGGGAAAAAAATTTAATGAAATTGTCGAGGCTGCCTGCTAGTGTAGATATGTCTACTTTTTCTGGGACTTATCTTAATTAACCTCAACTTGGTGAATTGTGTGAGATGTTGCATTCATTATCCTTAAGTAGATTAGCATGTTATGCTATCCTCTCTCTCTCTCTCTCTCTCTCTCTCTCTCTCTCTCTCTCTCTCTCTCTCTCTCTCTCTCTCTCTCTCTCTCTCTCTCTCACTCTCTCTCTCCTTCTCATGTGCTCATCGTGCATGTGTTGTGTGCCACAGGTCTCCAGTGTTATACGTGTGTGACTAGTGGGAACGACATGACGTGTCTGAGCGACCCAGAACATGTGGTCAACGGGTCGCCCATCACAGACTGCAAGCAAGGTGAAAATATCTGCTGCACCATCACTCGTCAGGAGTACCTGGAGACTCCAGGTGAGTGAAGCGCCGTGGCTGCAGGTGTAGCTGTAGGTGTACCTGCAGGTGTAGCAGCAGGTGTACTTGCAGGTATAGCTGCAAGTGTAGGCAAGATGAGGATATAATCAGGGGAGCAAACTACACTCACCTTCTCAACCATCATATCTGAGTGACTGATTCACACTGTGGTTCATTGTCAAGCCACGACTGAGCAACACAAAATAGGGAACCAGAAAACATGTCGAGAAATAATAAGGTGAAAAAATCTGGAAGACTTCATAAGGTCTTGGAAAGATCGAAAAGTCGTGTGAAATCTATCTCCTGTGGAAAGTGTAATTTGATTGTTCCAGCCACGGTGTTGATATGTTCTAGGAAATCACTGACTGGGTGGGATTTGAACCCATGACAGATGGATCCTAAAATTCACAGGCCAGTGCGTTAACCACTGGGCCAGCTGACTCTAATATTTCTATACACCATAAAAGGTTAGCATGGGCCACGATTGTGAACACTAATGCAGGCGATTACAGATTAGTGTGGGATTCGTCTGTAAACATTTGCATTTGTGGTAACATTGGTGGCCCATGCTAACCTCCCTATGAAATACAGAAATATAACTAATTGAATGAATCTTAACAGAACCAGCTGGTCAAGTTATTAACGCACTGGCCTGTGAGTTTAAGACTCACTTGCCCCTGGCTCAATCCCCACCCGTTCTGTGATTCGTTTGTTATTACAATTCAGTGAGTCATGTTTTAGCATCTAGAAAGCGGATGATTTCCTCTCAGGTAACGTTGAGTCAGTGTGCCAGTCCTGAGGTGAGTGAGCAGTCTATCAACGTGAGATATATACAGTAGATAATGTTAAACAATGAGAGACATAATGTGAACTAGGTTTGATGACCACAATAATATATATACAGTATGAAGATGTATGGAGAGTAGAAGTGCTAGAGAAGGTCAGGAATGGTGAATGTTGTACACACCTGACAATAAGGAATTAGGCCTTAATATACAGCATTTTTTGTGTATTTCGATGTCTAATTATCCTTTATTTCAGCTAACAAAAAACTGAAACTGCAATGGACTCTAAATAACATTTTGGCCTTTGATGACGCATTATCAAGTCGAAAACAATCGAGCCATTGTCAAGTTTGCGTTTTTAACTTGTTGATTAGTTGTGAGTTGTTGCAGCCAAGGCATTCAAATTCTTATTCATTTTTATGCTGTACAAAGATAATGTAATTTACATTTATTAAGACATTGTTAGGTACAAAAGTAGATCACTAGTATGCAATGCATTGTGAGTTAGATGTTCCATTCACGGTAATGGGACTTTCAAGCTGGAAATTCTGATTCAAAATCCCTGCTTCCCTTCCTGGCTGAGTGGCGCAGGTGTGGCGCAGTCCTTTGGTCGAGGCTGCCAGGAAAACTGCATGGAAGACGGCTTCTCAGAGAACCCAGACTCTACCCAGGTTATCTACCTCACCTACTGCAAGACGCCCAAGTGTAACAAGGGTGAGGAAACGTACCTCTGGACGGTAAGTCTTCCATAATGTACATACCGTAAAAAAAGATAAGGATTTGATTTCTTTGCAAAAGTTACAACGTGTAATTACAATTTTGATTTGTTAAGTACAAAGAAAGCCACCATCATGCCGGGGCATTTCTGGCAGATTGCAGGGGCATTTCTGGCAGATTGCAGGGGCATTTCTGGCAGATTTCAGGGGCATTTCTGGCAGATTGCAGGGGCATTTCTGGCAGATTGCAGGGGCATTTCTGGCAGATTGCAGGGGCATTTCGAGTGACATCAGAGCTGAGCGGACATAAAGTAAACTATTAGTTAAAAGCAGTTATTTGTCGAAAAAATATGTGAGCACATGTCTTTAAAATGCGTACGTTTATATTAATGTTGGAATAATAATGTGAGTTTTGAAAGTGAACTTGTACTGTGTTTCATGTGTGGCAGATGGTGGTGGTGGAGATGACAGCAACAAGGATAACGTTATTAAGAACATCCCTGGCAACGTAGCTTCTCTCACTACCCCGCTGCCGCTTCTGATGACTGCCGCAGCCTTGGCACTAGTTCCTGGGAACTAATGCCAGAGCCTCCTTGTAAGCTAAGGCCTCGTCAACAACCTCCAGAGGAACTAATGCCTTGTTACTTCACCAGCCATCAACTCATCAGCCTTCCCAGTGAGAGGACAATGGGAGGCAATCAGGTTTAGTCAAAAAAAAAAAAAAAGAAAATAGTTGCAATTCTCAGGTTCAGGAGCCTCTCACAGACATTAAGTCACCTTATAAATCACAATATTTGACTTTATTAGGTCATCTTACTTTAATTTTTAGAAAAATTACTATATAATATCCTTTTAAATAATTTAATATTGTGTATGAAATGTAAATAAACACTTAATTGCCTAATAAAAGAATTACTGGCTTTAAATAAAATATTTGATATATTTCCTTGAGTTTATCCCTAAAAAAGTCGTTTTCTGTAATTGCTGTCGTGTTCGAGTCAGTTTTCTAATAGTGTGGCTTTGGCTTCAGCGTGTTGTTATAGTCATCGTGGAGGAGCGCTAAACCCTTAAGGATCACGCAGCGCTTGGAAAATGATAAATAATCGTATTTGATCCGAGGGAAAAGCGAGGGTAGCGTGAATTCCTTGGATCAGCAGTACATAGGAGTGAGAACATTGTCTTGGGTGGCATCCTGGCATGCTGAGTTACAGCTCCTGAACCAACTTTACCGCTCGGTTACAGTTCCTGGCCCCTCGCTCACCCGTCCACTGACTAACACACAGTGGGAGTACATGGAACAGTTATCAGTAAGTAAGTTTATTCAGGTATACACAAATACAGTTACATATTATTATTATTATAATCAAAAAAGAAGCGCTAAGCCACAAATACAGTTACATAGAATTATCATACATAGCAACATATGTGTAGAGAACCTGGGATAACCCAAAAATAATAATAATAATATTTTTATAGGTACAACTTACACAGACCAGAGCTGACATCAGTGACATACTATATAGAATTTCGGGCAAATTAGGTTAATTTTGTCACCAGGAAAAGCAGGGGTGTCACTAGCACGTTAAGAGACCATACAATAAGTGTCAGGGGCCCGAGACTGTTCAACTGCCTCCCAGCACACATAAGGGGGATTACCAACAGACCCCTGGCAGTCTTCAAGCTGGCACTGGACAAGCACCTAAAGTCAGTTCCTGATCAGCCGGGCTGTGGCTCGTACGTTGGTTTGCGTGCAGCCAGCAGCAACAGCCTGGTTGATCAGGCTCTGATCCACCATGAGGCCTGGTCACAGACCGGGCCGCGGGGGCGTTGACCCCCGGAACTCTCTCCAGGTAAACTCCAGGATGCGGAAAATTAAATTTACATACCAGTAAATGGCAACAAAGATAATTATTATTTATCAAAGTTACATAGACAAGTAGGAATTTTGGGACACCTGGGTCTCAAAAAATGTCCCCCTTCGATACCTACAACTGTCATATCCACAAGTTGCTCTAGACCTATATTAATTGCAAATGAAATATGCATCACCAGGAATTCTGGTAAAATTTAATATAAACATGTGGACTGTATATTAAAATTAATAAATGATTACATACACATATTTATATAACAGAAAGAGAATTTATAATCATAACACTCAGCAATTTGTCTGGAGATTACTGTGTATCATACTCAAAACCCTTGCTTAAAGTTTATGAAGAAAATACTGGCCAGAATTTCTAAACACAAACATAAAAACATACTTGCTGGGGTTCTGAAGCTGTCCTGCCCATCTGCTTAATGCTCACGTTATGCAGGACTGCAATTCCAACAATTTCGGCTCCTAATTGAGAGGTTTTAAGCCCAATATAACCTCTAGAGCGACGAAAACTATGCACATTACACTAACGTGTTTGTATCACATTCAAAAGCAATGGCGTCTCCCCCTGCTCCTCAGCACAGGCGCAGAGCTTTCCCCTCGATTCTCTTCTTTACAATACACTGTATTTTTGGAAAATATACAGTATTTTCCACACAGGATGCGACCCACACCAGTTGACTAACACCCAGGTACCTACTTACTGCTAGGTAAACAAGGACAGCAGGTGTCTTAAGGAAAGACGCCCTAATATTAAGGACCTCAATTCGGAATAAGTCACTGTCTGACTTTTTTGGGTTATCCTGGGTTCTCTATATATATGTTGCTATGTATGATAATCTTTGTAACTGTATTTGTGTATACCTGAATAAACTTACTTAGTGTTGCCTGCTGTACCAGAGATAGAACCACGGACCACCGCAATCGGCTAACACACTGAGGTCCGTGGTTCGATCCCCGGTACAGCTGGCCACAGTAAGTTTATTCAAGAGGCCTACGAGGTCACCGGACCTATTTGTGACCTCTCTCTGGGAGTAAGTGAAGGGCACAGTTGACGTACCACCTACAACCCTGGAGGAGCTGAATATTTCGATCACTGGAGCAGCTGGCATGATAACACCAGATATATTGGAGAGTGTCTGGGCCAAACTGGAGTGTCACATCAATATTGACCGAGCAACCAGAGGGACTCACACTCTCCTTAATGCTATCTTATACTTCCTGAAACTGAATGATATCCTGTATCTGAAGTTACTAACTCTGAAACATTATTACAGTGAAGATGCATGTTCTACCTGTTTGAAATTAGGGAGTGTTTTTGTGGGCACCCTGTATAATTATTATTATTATTAAAGATTAACCGGTATTCTCCCGGCCCGGGCCTTTTCCAAGTGGTGGCCCGGCCTTGGCTCCCTCTTTAGGAAGTGTCTGAGACCTAAGTCTCCCATGGGAGGAGGCACAAGTACCTCCTCATCTTTGGGACCAACTGTCCCCAGGCCTACCCACAAGCTAGGCCTCTCTGGTCTGCCATCCCCGCCCCAAGGGAACAAATGGGAATGACAGTCTTATGAGCTAAAAGCTCGGGCTCAGGCACCTACCCTACCCTAGAAGGGCTGGGCATGGTGTCGATCACCCAGTATAATATATATATATATATATATATATATATATATATATATATATATATATATATATATATATATATATATATATATATATATATATTATATAAGGATAATAGAAACGTTGCATGTCCAGGAAAGCTATATATTTATGAGTGATTAATATAATATACGTAAATGATTGTTTAATGTTATATATATATATATTATATATATATATATATATATATATATATATATATATATATATATATTATATATATATATATATTGGGTAAAACATGAGATATATATCAATAATAGCACCATAACTTAGCATAAACTTAGGTTATGTTACACTGTGTTTCACTATATAAGTCTGAACAAAGTTAGGTTAAGTTACTTTATGCTACAAGATTCATTAGTCACTTAAATATACCAATACATAATAAACCAAATAGAAAAATAACTTTTTATTATTAAAAATCTGTGATAAGGAAAAAATATTAGTTCTTAAATTTTTTGTTTTTTGTTGCCCTATAATCTATTATATATATATATATATATATATATATATATATATATATATATATAATATATATATATATATATATATATATATATATATATATATATATATATATATATATATATATATATATATATATGTGTGTGTGTGTGTGTGTGTGTGTGTGTGTGTACTCACCTAGTTGTACTCACCTAGTTGAGGTTGCGGGGGTCGAGTCCGAGCTCCTGGCCCGCCTCTTCACTGATCGCTACTAGGTCACTCTCCCTGAGCCGTGAGCTTTATCATACCTCTGCTTAAAGCTATGTATGGATCCTGCCTCCACTACATCGCTTCCCAAACTATTCCACTTACTGACTACTCTGTGGCTGAAGAAATACTTCCTAACATCCCTGTGATTCATCTGTGTCTTCAGCTTCCAACTGTGTCCCCTTGTTACTGTGTCCAATCTCTGGAACATCCTGTCTTTGTCCACCTTGTCAATTCCTCTCAGTATTTTGTATGTCGTTATCATGTCCCCCCTATCTCTCCTGTCCTCCAGTGTCGTCAGGTTGATTTCCCTTAACCTCTCCTCATAGGACATACCTCTTAGCTCTGGGACTAGTCTTGTTGCAAACCTTTGCACTTTCTCTAGTTTCTTTACATGCTTGGCTAGTTGTGGGTTCCAAACTGGTGCCGCATACTCCAATATGGGCCTAACGTACACGGTGTACAGGGTCCTGAACGATTCCTTATTAAGATGTCGGAATGCTGTTCTGAGGTTTGCTAGGCGCCCATATGCTGCAGCAGTTATTTGGTTGATGTGCGCTTCAGGAGATGTGCCTGGTGTTATACTCACCCCAAGATCTTTTTCCTTGAGTGAGGTTTGTAGTCTCTGACCCCCTAGACTGTACTCCGTCTGCGGTCTTCTTTGCCCTTCCCCAATCTTCATGACTTTGCACTTGGTGGGATTGAACTCCAGGAGCCAATTGCTGGACCAGGTCTGCAGCCTGTCCAGATCCCTTTGTAGTTCTGCCTGGTCTTCGATCGAGTGAATTCTTCTCATCAACTTCACGTCATCTGCAAACAGGGACACCTGTTTGCAGATGTGTGTGTGTGTGTGTGTGTGTGTGTGTGTTTGTTTATATTATAATAAAATATATTCTTAATTATTTATCTATATACAATAACAACAACAACAATAACAATAATTTAATAATAATTACAATTTATTATTAAATTATTAAATTACGCCCAAATGTTGCACAGTGATTCATTAGACTAATACAGATAATAACTCCATTATAATCTTCTACGATATATGGTTTTATACATTACAGTTTATATATATATATATATATATATATATGCAGAACAACCACTGTGAAAAGAATAGTGAACTTCCAAGACCTTTCGTGATTTCTCACATTATCAAGGAACTATAAATATAAAAGGTCAACAGAGAGATATATAAGGACGAAACTACACCTCGCGGTCACCTGAAAACACTTGACCTTTTCATGAATATGTAGGCAGGTTGTCAAGGACCTGTCAAGAACAGTTTATATTATACCCATTCTTTAAGATTTTAGCTTGTGGAATGTATCTTAAATTCTTCACAAATTTTATTTCTTATAAATGAATCCAATTTGTATAATCCTAAACTAATATTCATATTAAAATCAAAACTATTTTTATTCAGCTTGATTCGGTTATATTTCTCTCAACCATAGAATTGCTTAATACAATTATCTCGGCTTTTTGAAAATCAATTAGATGGTTAAAATCCCTCACATGAATAAACTCAGCATTAAACTTGTCTACCTCTAATGCTATATCAATATTGTTGTGTTTTTAGTTCAGATATTTTTCCCAGTTTGACTGTAATAAACTGGACAAATTTCTGCCTACCGAGTCATCTACATTATGGTAGAATTTATATGATTAAACAGTGT